ACCTCCCAAGCGTAAATTTACCTTATTTACGTACCCGCGATGAGGGAATTCTCCCCATCATTCATGATTATTTTTGATGAAAAATCATCTTTTTCGCCTTATCGTTGGCCCAAGAAGTAAATGCCAGTAACAAGCGACATGCAAAACAAAAAGCATGTTCACCTTACAATGGCTCGAATCTCCTAATAACCCGAATATCCGGCAAAAAAGCCTTATAACCCACAAAATTTCCAGAAACCAAAAAGAGCATCGAACCTATGGAAGTGGATCCATCATTATCACAATTTAAACATCCAATAAATGATCAAAATCATGCTTATAATGACAGACCGCAGCAGGGAAATGTGCAGAAACCTTTCGCAAATTCGGGCCGATATACGGAATACGATTGAGTGCGATTAAATTAATTTTTTAGGACAAGGTCCCTTCTGCCTTGGATTGCAAGACCAATAGGAGGATGGGAGATTAAACTCTCTATCGACACAGCCTATTAATCCCCTATTTTTCGGACTATAGGGTGTACGCGCTCCCTTCATTATTGGGAGGTGGCCCCTCTGTCGGCAAGGGTGGGGAGGAGTGGCGATGGGAAAGGATCGAATAAAATTTTATGGTTGGTTCAGAGTATTGCAGCATATGCGGGTGTGTGGCCTATGATTCATAGCAACACTTATGTAAGAAATTGGCATTTGTATTTTTGTGTGTTGAGTTCCTTTGCTTTGCGTTGCATTTCAGCCCAAATTGATGGCTTTAAAGCAGATGAAAAATTCCGTTAGTATATTCGTGTGTATTGTTGATCCCCATATGAAATTAAGCGCTTTTTTATACCATCCACCATAGTATTGAGTATATTAAGTTTGTCATTCCGTTTGTAACACCTCGAAATATACATTTTAGACGCCACAAAGTATATGTATTCTTTATCAGCATAAAATTCTATGTTGGTTTTGGGATGTCCGTCCGTCTGTGGAAATAACTCTAGCTTCCGAAGGAATTGAAGTAGATTAATAAAATTTTACTCAAATGTACATTACGTCTGCAGGACTTATGGTATTGAAAATGGACCATGTAGGTCCACGTTTTGGTACAGCCCCCATATAAGGGTACTTCCGATATTAGGTATTTTGATGATTTTAGCTACAATATTCATCGAAATTGTTTCAAATTTTGTATTTGAAGTTCGAAATGGACACTACTGCTAAGACAAAAAATTGTCTGTTCAGATCCACTTCTTCTTATAGCCCCCACTTAATGGTACCTGCCGATATTCGGTATTTTTATGATTTTAGCAATATTATTCACCGGAATTGCTTCAAATTTGGTATTTGAAGTTCGTCATGGATACTACAGCTAAGACAGAAAATTGTCTGTGCAGGTCCACGTCTTCGTATAGCCCCCATATAACGGTACCTCCCAATATTCGGTATTTTGATTATTTCAGCGACATTATCACCGGAATTGTTTGAAATATGGTATTTGATGTTCGCAATGGATGCTACAGCCATTTTTCTCGAAAAGGATCAGTAACTAAAGTCTACAAAGTAAAAAACATGAACCCATTAATGCAACATCACAATTATTAACTTGACCAGAAGATAATAACTGTGAAAGCAAATACTATTTATTATACACTGAGAGAAAGTCAAGAAAGTAAAAGTAGGACGGACTTTTAAAAAACAGTCGTGCGGACTTTAAGAAAGATTTCTATGGAATCTATGGCGAATAACAAGATAACAACAACATTTAAGTTTTAATGAATTCGAAACCATTGGCAATATAAAAGAAACGTTAATTTTTAAGTTTAAACACATTAAAACAAAAGTTACTTAAAGTAAATTGGGTGCAAGAAGAATGCCATTGAGGCCATTAGAGACAAACTAAAACAACGTACAAAACTTTAACAATGCACAAAAGCCAATTAAGAACACAAACGGAAAGGATTTTAAGCCTAATTCTGTGTGCTACCGGAATTTAAAGGAGCCTTTACAGCGTATCTTGGCTGAAGCCAGCAATATTATGGGTCAATGTTCATTAAGTACACACTTGACAAAGGAATGGTACCTGTATAAGTTTGATACGTTCCACTACAACTCCGAACCTAATATATCACAGATACAGATTGACACCACGGGCAACTCCTCGGCAACTTCCCTCGGCGAGCCTCTGTCGCCACACCAAATTACTGAAGGTAATTTTGTTGTTAAGAAAAGAAATAATCGCCAGTAAGCCATGGAAGATATTTAAATAGTACCTTCTAATTATATTTATGTTTTATTACTTACATTAATCTTTCTTTGCACAACACACACCCGCATAACTCTTACCTCAACATCTCTCACCATCCCACATCACGTTAAACTTTGCGGAGTTGTTGTTGCTATTACTGATGTTGCAGACATTACCACACTTCTGAGTTAAAAAGCACCGTTAAGTAAAATAATTTAGTTAAAGCTAGCAGTGTAAGAGCCTACGAAACTAACAACACCATCTACTACACCATTGAATTACCCTTATTAAAGCTAAAATGTAATTTTATAAGCATTTTTTCAGACATTCACTTAAAATCATAAAACATACTAACCCACCTTCATAAAAAGAACTATCACGGGCAGACAATTCGCGAATCATATTTCAACAATCACTGGTTGATTGTGAAATGCTAATTGGAATTCTACGTAAATATAATCAATATTAGCAAGTGCCCGCTACTTCGTCAGCGAAAAGTCCACCTTAAAATTTAGATTCGTTTCAAGAGATCGTATCATGTCTTTGTAGTACTTAAAATGCATATTTTTTCTTTTTCACAAAATTTTCTAATCATAACTTCAAAGATCGTACTTAATTTTCAAGGGTTTCTATATTATTCAAAATTTTACCTTTTTTTGAAAGAATAATAAGAAAATGTTTATTTTTTGCACCAAAAAGTCTTCAGAATTGGTCAAAATCTAATTTTCTTGAGAAGTTAATAGAATTAGTGACCATTGAAATTACGTTACCTGGACATTATACAGACGGTTCCAAGATAGATGTAGGCAACGAAGCTGGCATATTCTGCCCTAACCCAATGATTAAACATTCATATAAGCCCAATGACAATTGCATAGTTTTCACGCGGAGATTCTTGCAAGTCAGCCAAATGGTAGTAAGAGGCCTCTGCACTAGTAGAAAAGGATTAGTGCTCCAGTAATACGTGAATTCAGTGAGCTTTATTAGACATAGCTATATAAAATGAAGTTGCTGATGAATTAGCTTGAGTTGGCTAACTTATCTAACGTTCTTCTCAAACATAGATGAATCTACAAATTTGCTAAAAGCATTCCCTGTCAATGCAGACCACCAGCTATACTTCTCTCTATATAAACTGTCACTTTCTCACTTCTATATCTCTCTTATCACCATAAATGAGATTGAAATTGTGACATTTCGTCCATATGGATATGCATGCGTGTCGTACATGGATTTACTTGCTTGATGTGGTCTGAAATAAAATGCACCTGGGAAAAGAATTCGTGCCAGACTGAACTTGGACAATTTTTCTATATGGCATGGACTTTACTGGTTAGTCTACAAAATGTTTTATTTCTACAAATAATCTCCTTTAGTAAAGCTGTGCCTCATTAAAACTATATGTAATTGTAATTTTGTTCTCTTAGCGCAAACACACTTGGTACCTTCATTTAAACACTCTAACTCGTCGGTTGAAATAGTAATACTTTGTATAATCCGCCTCTTTAAAATCTCGAAAATCGAAACATTATCCAAAACAACCATTGGCAATGGCGGCAAGGAAGTTAGAGATGCAAAATACATCTCCGCAAATTCGTGGACTGGCACAGGATTTCCAAATCGAGGAGAAAATCTCATATATCAAGACTAATCTGAGGTCCGTGAGGAAGTTCGAAAGAATTTACTCTTGCTTTCCTAAGCTCAAACTCTTGGTGGAAAGGATTCTTTTTCCAGAAAATAGGTGTGCTCGCACCAAAGCCCAAGGAGCTACGGTTTCGTAGACAAATTGGAACCTGAAGCAAAGCCAAACACTCAGCAGAGCAAATCGGCAGCTTCTTCTCACACAAGCGTCAAGAGACGGAGGAGGCGGAGATCTCTTGCAAAACAAAAACCAAACAAAAAGGATCAATAACTACAGTCTAGAAAGTAAAAAAACATGAACCCAATTATACAACATCACAATTATTAACTTGACCAGAAGATAATAACTGTGAAAGCAAATACAGTTTATTATACACTGAGAGAAAGTCAAGAAAGTAAAAGTAGGATGGACTTTTGAAAACATTCGGGCGGACTTTAAGAAAGATTTGTATGGAATCTATGGCGAATAACAAGATAACAACATAATTTAAATTTTAATGATTTCAAAACCATTGGCAGTTTAAAAGAAACGTTAATTGTAAAGTTTAAACACATTAAAACAAAAGTTACTTAAAGTAAATTGGGTGCAAGAAGAACGCCATTGAGGCCATTAGAGACAAACTAAAACAACGTACAAAACTTTAACAATACACAAAAGCCAATTAAGAATTCAAATGGAAGGGATTTTAAACCTATTTCTGTGTGCTACCTGAATTTAAAGAAGACTTTACAGCGTATCTTGGCTGGCGTGAAGCCAGCAATATTATGGGTCAATGTCCATTAAGTACATACTTGAGAATGGAATGGTACCTGTATAAGTTTGATACGTTCCACTACAACTCCGAACCCAATATATCACGGATGCTGATTGACACCACGGGCAACTCTTCGGCAACTTCCCTCTGCGAGCCTCTGTCGCCACACCAAATTACTGAAGATAATTTTGTTGTTAAGAAAAGAAATAATCGCCAATAAGACATAGAATATATTTATATATATATATATAAGAATATATTTAAATTATACCTACTGATTATATTTATGTTTTTTATTACTTACATTTAGTCTTACTTTGCACAACACACACTCGCATAACTCTCACCTTAACATCTCTCACCATCCCAGCAAACATTTTTTTCCGATTTTCTTCCGAATTCGGAAAAAAACTCTGCACAAGTTTCCGACTCTGATGTCGAATTCGGAAAGAAATCGGAAGAAAATTGTGTGAGATTGCCCAAGATTCTGAAAGATTTTGCGGAAAAAATTCTGAAAGAACGTAAGAGTTTCGGGTCGAATTCGTATAGAATTCGGCAAAGAAAAAAGGAAAATTCGGAGAGATATAGGATGTTTGATACGAAATTCGGAAAATTTTCGGATGTTTGATACGAAATTCGGAAAAATTCTGAATTTGTTCTATAGTTTTATCGGAAAATCGGAGAAATATGGGATGTTTGATGCGATATTCGGAAAAGTATCGGATGTTTGATCCGAGATTCTGAAAAATTTCGGATGTTTGATTCGAAATTCGGAAAAATATCTGAATTTATTCTATAGTTTTATCCGAAAATCGGAAAAAAATCGAATAATTCATTCTAAAATCGGAAAATAATAGGATGTTTGATACGAAATTCGCAAAAAAATCTAAATTTATTCTATAGTTGTAATCGAAAATCCGAAATAATAAAACTTTATCTAGTTTTTAGATAATTGATTATGTTTATATTTTTCAATTTAATGACAGAACATTTGTATTCATTTTTTTTTTTTTTTGTAAAATATAAGGAATACGGAAATTAATATATAAAAAACATCAAAAGTTGCAATTCAATCTAAATCAATATAATTAAGGGTGGAAATACTTCGATTTTGGCCCAGCTTAAGGTTTGTTAAGCCTACCTTTAGCCGAGTTGAAGAAATGTTTTATATGGTACTTCCCATAGCTCCCGGAATATGTTTCAATGCCGCATCTTAATAATAAAAATGAAAAAAAATATTATTTAAATTATCAAAGAGTTTAAAACACAAGGATACAAACCTTTAACGAGCCTAATAAAATAGATGTCCTTTACAGCTGTATTTTGGTACATATCGTGCCACGAAAACGTTGACCTCGTCAGTTTGAAAAATCATATGTAAAAGTGTTTACATTGTCATGGCGTTGATTTTTTAAACGGCGTAGCTAAACAATTTAAGATATTATTAAAAGTAGTAATTGTAGAAAGGTGCTTACTTACCATAAGGTACTTAAGGTCCAAATCTTCCTTTAATTTTCATTTTAACTTTTCACTGCAACACACTGCACTCGTGCTCCGTTCAAATTCTGACGACAAACTGATCATAATCAAAAAAAAAAAAAAAAAAAAAAAAAAACAAAAAAGTTGTATGCACAAAATTCTTCAAATAATTTCAACCGAGCATGTGCAGAGTACTCGGAAACTTTTCGAAAGGAAAGGTAAAATAAATCTCAACAGAAAAAAGTTAACTCTCTGCTAATTTTTGTGTTTTTTTTTTTCAAATGGAACAAAAGAAACGAGTATGTGCAGATTACTCGGAAACTTTTCTGGAGTAACATTAGAAATTCACGCCAAAAAAAGAGTTAACTCTCTGTATACGCTGTTTTTTTTTTCTCTTTAGCTTTGTTTGTTCAAACAAAACAAAAGAAACGAGTATGTGCAGATTACTCGGAAACTTTTCTGAAGAAACTGCAGAAAATCTCGACAAAAAATCGGACATCAGAGCCCTCGGAAAAAAATGTTAGCTGGGATCCCACATCACGTTAAACTTTGCGGATTTATTGTTGCTATTGCATTTTTTTTGCATTTTGGTTGTGAAATGCTAATTGCTGGAGGAATCCTACGTAAATATAATCAATACAAGCAAGAGTCCGCTACTTCGTCAGGTAAAAGTCCACCTTAAAATTTAGATTCGTTTCAAGAGATCGTATCAGGTCTTTGTAGTACCTTAAATTCATATTTTTCTTTTTGAAAAATTTTCTAATCATAACTTCAAAGATCGTACTTAATTTTCAAGGGTTTCTATATTATTCAAAATTTTACCTTTTTTTGAAAGAATAATAAGAAAATGTTTATTTTTTGCACCAAAACGCCTTCAGAATTGGCCAAGATCAAATTTTCTAGGTGAAGGTAATTGTTAGCTCATAGGGGCTCCGCCGATGGGAGTGAATGCCGAATGCGTCGAGCAGTTGGCCGTAGGGTATATGCAAAAAGATAAATAAAGACACAAGGGGTTTTCCTTAATATAAAATAGATCTATTTATTCCTAATTTGGTTGGTAACGATATTACCTTTGGCAACTATATGCCCTTTTATGCACAACGATATGTGCTTGCAAACGATATTGCGGGTGTTGTCTGTCCGAATGACAAATACTACTTGATGTCTAAAGGAGGCGGCAAAACAAGTGACAACTAATTACTCGTTAAAATGTCAAAGGAGCTAGCACAAGGTTGCAATAAACCGTAGCGCGTACATTTTAACGAATAATTAAGGACCAAACCAGGGGTCAATAAAAAGCAATATTTAATACAATTCTAAATTAAACAGTAATAGTATTAGTGACCATTGAAATTACGTTACCTCTACATTACACAGACGGTTCCAAGATGGATGTAGGCAACGAAGCTGGCATATTTTGCCCTAACCAAATGATTAAACATTCATATAAGCCCAATGACAATTGCATAGTTTTCACGAGGAGATTCTTGCAAGTCAGCCAAATGGTAGTTAGAGGCCTCTGCACTAGTAGAAAAGAATTAGTGCTCCATGTAATAAGTGAATTTATTGAGCATTATTAGACATATAAAATGAAGTTTCTGATGAATTAGCTTGAGTTGGCTAACTTATCTAACGTTCTTCTCAGACATAGATGAATTTACAAATTTGATAAAAGCATCCCTTGTCAAGGCAGACCACTAGCTATACTTCTCTCTATATAAACTGTCTCTTTCTCGCTTCTATATCTCTCTTATCACCATAAATGAGATTGAAATTGAGACATTTCGTCCATATGCATATGCATGCGTGTCGTACATGGATTTACTTGCTTGAAGTGGTCTGAAATAAAATGCACCTGGAAAAGATTTCGTGCTAAACTGAACTTGGACAATTTTTCTATGTGCCATGGACTTTACTGGTTAGTCTACAAAATGCTTTATTTGTACAAATAATCTCCTTTAGTAAAGTTGTGCCTCATTAAAATTATATGTAATTCTAATTTTGTTCTCTTGGCGCAAAAACTCGTGATATGATACATTGGTACCTTCATTTAAACACTCTAACTCGTCGGTTGAAATTGTGATACTTTGTATAATCCGTCTCTTTATAATCTCGAAAATCTAAACATTTTCCAACACAACCATTGGCAATGGCGGCAAGGAAATTAGAGATGCAAAATACAACTCCGCAAATTCGTGGACAGGCACAGGATTCCCAAATCGAGAAGAAAATCTCATATATCAAGACTAATCTGAGGTCCGTGAGGAAGTTCGAAAGAATTTATTCTTGCTTTCCTAAGCTCAAACTCTTTGTGGAAGAGATTCTTTTTCCAGAAAATAGGGGTGCTCGCACCAAAGCTCAAGGAGCTATGGTTTCGTAGACAAATTGGAACCTGAAGCAAAGCCAAACACTCAGCAGAGCGAATCGGAGGCATTCAAACCCTGTGTGATCTGGATTGCCAAAAACTCGAGAGAGTGAATCTAGTTCAGAAACAATCAGTAGGTAATCAGAATAGTAACTCTTTACGAAAGAGTAACACGAGAGTTTTTTTCACTGAGAGAAAGTCAAGAAAGTAAAAGTAGGACGGACTTTTGAAAAACAGTCGGGCGGACTTGAAAAAAGATATCTATGGAATCTATGGCGAATAACAAGATAACAACAACATTTAAATTTTAATGATTTCAAAACCATTGGCAGTTTAAAAGAAACGTTACTTGTAAAGTTTAAACACATTAAAAGAAAAGTTACTTAAAGTAAATTAGGTGCAATAAGAACGCCACTGACGACATTAGAGATAAACTAAAACAACGTACAAAACTTTAACAATGCACAAAAGCTAATTAAGAATGCAAACGGAAGGGATTTTAAGCCTATTCCCTACTACAACTCCGAACCCAATATATCGCGGATGCTGATTGACACCACGGACAACTCCTCGGCAACTTCCCTCGGGTGCCTCTGTCACCACACCAAATTACTGAAGGTAATTTTGTTGTTAAGAAAAGAAATAACCGCCAGTAAGGCATGGAATATATTTAAATTGTACCTACTAATTATATTTATGTGTTTTGTTACTTACATTTAGTCTTTCTTTGCACAACACACTCGCATAACTTTCACCTCAACATCTCTCACCATCCCACATCACATTAAACTTCGCGGAGTTATTGTTGCTATTACCGCTGTAGAAGACATTACCACACTCCTGGGTTAAACAGCACCGTTAAGTACAAATAATTTATTTGAAGCTAGCAGTGTAAGAGCCTTTAAAACTAACAACACTATCTACTGCACCATTGAATTACCCTTATTAAAGTTAAAATGTAATTTTATAAGCATTTTTTCAGACATTCAGTTAAAATCAAAAAATATACTAACCCACCTTCATAAAAAGAACTATCACGGGCAGACAATACGCGAATCATATTTCAACAATCACTGGTTGATTGTGAAATGCTAATTGGAATTCTACGTAAATATAATCAATACAAGCAAGTGCCCGCTACTGCGTCAGCGAAAAGTCCACCTTAAAATTTAGATTCGTTTCAAGAGATCGTATCAGGTATTTGTAGTACTTAAAATGCATATTTTTTCTTTTTCACAAAATTTTTTAATCATAACTTCAAAGATCGTACTTAATTTTCAAGGGTTTCTATATTATTCAAAATTTTACCTTTTTTGAAAGAATAATAAGAAAATGTTTATTTTTTGCACCAAAAAGTCTTCTGGTCAAAATCCAATTTTCTAGAGAAGGTAATAGAATTAGTGACCATTGAAATTACGTTACCTGGACATTTACACAGACGGTTCCAAGATGGATGTAGGCAACGAAGCTGGCATATTTTGCTCTAACCCAATGATTGAACATTCATAGCCCAATGACAATTGCATAGTTTTCACGCGGAGATTCTTGCAAGTCAGCCAAATGGTAGTAAGAGGCCTCTGCACTAGTAGAAAAGAATTAGTGCTCCATGTAATACGTGAATTCATTTAGCTTTGTTAGACATAGCTATATAAAATGAAGTTGCTGATGAATTAGCTTGAGTTATTGTTGCTTTTACCGCTGTTGAATACATTGCAACACTCCTGAGTTAAACAACTGAGTGTAAGAGCCTATGAAACTAACAAGACTATCTACTACACCATTGTATTACCCTTATTAAAGTTAAAATCATAAAACATATTAACCCACCTTCATAAAAAAAAAACTATCACGGGTAGATAATTCGCTAATCATATTTCAACAATCACTGGTTGGTTGTGAAATGCTAATTGCTGGAGGTATTCTACGTAAATATACTAGCTAGTGCTCGCTTCTTCGTCAGCGAAAAGTCCACCTTAAAATTTCTTTTTGACAAATTTTCTAATCATAGCTTCAGAGATCGTACTTAATTTTCAAGGGTTTCTATATTATTCAAAATTTTACCTTTTTTTGAAAGAATAATAGGAAAATTTTATTTTTTTGCACCAAAAAGTCTTCAGAATTGGCCAAAATCCAATTTTTCTGTCCAAAAATATTTCAAGGTCTCCACAATAGCAGCTCTATCTCTTCACGCAATACCAAGTTTTGGAGACATTAAGTACGCATATAAGTACGCATATTCAAAAAAAAAAAAAACCTTCCATCTTAGGCACCGACAGTGAACAACAAATAAATTCTGGGAAAACTTCAAACGCTGCAGAGTGTAAGCCACTTTAATGCTGATAAAAGATCAGAGAACCTTTGAAGAGGTTTGAGGATAAGATTGTGAAAGAGTTACATTTTTGTTTTTTTTTTTTTTTTTATTCGGACATATCACGACATTTTTTCAGAGTTTTCAGACGGGAAATAGAATTGATCGGGTACCCTGTTACCAGAATCAGTATCAGGACATGACCAGGTAATTAAACATTTTCACGGCCATTTTCGTTCTTAGGTCTTTCTTGTCGCGGACTCACTTTCCGCACAATGCGCAAAACATACTTAAGAAGAGTCAGAAGACGTTTGTGTTTCTTTTTCAGGTTTGGAAGCTGCATATCCTAAAATGCCTACTCCAGATTCTTATGGTCAATGACGGGATAGAAGCATCTGTTTGGGTGCGTTGGAATGGATGCAGAGAATGGATTAAGAAATAAATGGAGTTAAATATACAATAAACAAGTTTCGAATACAGATGTTAATATCCAAAGACCTAACGAGTTAAAAATCTAAAAAAAATATTTCAACGTTTTTTAAGGAATAAAATAACAATTCATAGGCGAAAATTACAACAAAGCAACTTTTCTGAAAACTTGATATGTCAAAATTGTAAGAAAGGCGAATTTAATTGAATTCTATATATTCGGGGCAAATTGTTTTGCACCAATCAGAACATTTTATTTTGAAACACTGAATAATTTTGTTTTGATTCATTGAAATTTAAAAAATTAAATTTTGCAAGAAAAAATTAGATTCGTTGTGATTTGTAATGTTTGATACAGACACAGATTTTAACGAACTGGGAAAGACGAAGAAAAATCTATCAGAACAGATTC